TACATAAAATCCCATTACCAAAATATAGTTTTTTCAGTCTTATATATATATATAACCCTCTCTCTCTCTCTCTCTCTATATATATATATATAGACTCTTTTTGACAATATTTATATTAACTCTGCATATCATTTTTGCCACGAAACAAAATATATTAGAACTTTTCCCCATTTCTTTAAAAGCTCTTCTATCATATTTAGTAACGGCTGCCTCATTGTCACCTAACAAGTCAGCCCCAGTTGATGGGTCCGTCTGGTCAGGCTCGAAGGTTAGACGAAACTTCCTAGTGAAGGTGACTCATCCCTGAGGACATGTCCCGTTTAAATGAGGCATTGTTGTCCTGAAAAAGGTAAAGTGAAATTCGTAACAGTTAAGGCTTTCCTTGGGTCCTCTCATCCTATATATATTCTCCTGACATAATCTTATTGGACCCATATGGGCTATGGTGTTCACAAATTCAGGCTTTTTAAAGATGTCTACACTGCCATTTGAATTCGTCATTTAGGAAATTGTTCTCACTCTCTTTTCTCTGCCATCTGCTATCCACAACCCAGTGTACTCTAGCAGGCGTGGAAAATTCCAGGTCAGTGAGTAGGTGGGAGAGAGGAGGAGGGCAGCTAAGTTTACCCAAAGCCTGAGCTCTGGTCTCCTTTTATATCAGGGGCACACAGTCTGAAGGCCCTGCAAAGTGGTTGGCGGAAGAACTCAGCAAGGATGTTACACCTCAGGAGAACAGTGTTGCCCACAATGCAGAGAGAGAAGTGGGGAAGGAAGGGACGGGAAAGGAAGAGAAATGGGAAGGGAAAGGAGAAGGCAAAGAGGAAGAAAAAGGAGACAATGAAAAAGAAAGCCAGGCAGCACTCTTAAGAGTACATTTTCACTGAAGGTCTGTTGACTTTCTTCCGGGACCCTAATTGCGGGGCCTCCTCCCAAAAGCTGATGTTAAGATGAGATTTTACAAAATGCATTTTATACAAAATTCCTGCACAAAGCAAAAGAGCCTCCCACACACTCAGCAGCAGCCCTAGCATGCTACTTTAAGAATTATATACATCAGATTTGCTAGGAGTAATAGGAAAAGTGAATAATGACTTCCAAACTGACCTGGATATTGCAGTTCTTAAGTCAAACTGCCAAAGCAGATGGAATGATTTGGCCTGACAGTTATATTCACTCTTTGCCGGTGGGAAAGTGATAACCAGTGACAGAGGCAAAATAACTTAATAACTTTGGAAATTGAAAAATTATGGGAGTTGGGGTTTTATTTTTTAACCACTTAAATGAGAAGTATTTGCCTCTGCTGAAATGAGACTATGAAATTATGGTTAATCAGAAATAGATGAGGACTTTCCAACAACACTTAGAACGTTACAATTAATCCAGTAATTCATTTTATTGATAATGTACAATTAGGAGGCTAAATGATCTGAACATATTACTTCTCTTACTTTAAGTGCTTTACACACATTATAATTAAGCAAAGCAAAGTTAAAATCATACACATAATTAAGGAAGGCAGTGTTAAAATAAATGAAATAAAATTGTTCTCAGCATTCAGCTTAATCTCCACAAAAGACTATTACACACTTTTACAGATGGTAGGGCTTCCAAACACTGAGCCCATACGTATATTAACTGAGCCTGAAATTGGTGCTTAATTTCTTTGACTTGGAGCAGAATTGTTTCCTTTCTTTGCTGAGTGTTTACTTTAAATAGAGGTCTCTTCTTCCAAACAAAGTACGTGACATCAGAACTACCATGCTTTAACAAACATACAGAAGAATGGACCTCTATTTAGAATTTACCAAGAGCCATTCAACAGTAAGTTATTAGGCAATATACAGTTTTCTTCTGATAGTTTTCACCTGTTGGAAGACATTTCATTTTGGAAAATTTAAGGAGAATATATACTTACGTTGGTATGGAGCAGGCACTTATTAAATATTTCTTGAATTTCTTTCATTGAGAAGTTATTTCCTCTAACAACCACTCTTAAATATTTAAGAGGTTGCTGGAAAACCTTAACTGAGTCCTTTTCCCCCATATTTTACATCACTGAGTGTGTTAAAAATTCGTGATTATGCTTTCCACTCTCATGGGAAAAATTAACATAAATTGAGCACCCACTGTTTTTCACACAAAATATTAGGCGCTTTTAAATATATATATATTAACTCCTTGGATCTCAAAAAAGCCCTATGAGTAAATACTATGCATATTTATACATTAGGGAACTGTATCCATGGGAATTATACATCTTCCCAAGTTCACAGTTAGGAAGTTCCAAAGTCAGGTTTCAGATCCTGATGTGTCTGATTCTGAAGCCCATATTCTCTCTATATACAGGAACAATATAGACCCTAAGTTTAACCTTATTCTAGTAACTTTTCCAAAATGCTGGGGGCTTCCTTATTATTACCAACTATCTTTATAGGCGTGGTGACCATGTCTTCCATAAAGAAATGATGATATATAACCTGAAAGAATTTTAATCCCAGGGTTAGATTAGATTGGAATTAGCATGCCAGTGGTCACTAATTTCTGGCAAATGTAGAGGAAAGAAAGAACTTTATTTGGGGCTATCTTGAAATAGGATGGAGATTCAGGAAGACAGATGCAGTGATATGCCAACACATTGCACGAATGTATCCATTTTGATGCTAAGAAACTTTAACAGAGCTCCTTGGACATTGAGATTTTGGTACAGGGACACTTTGATAGATCCTAATAGACAAACTACCAAATTTTTAGTCTTTTTTCTTTTTAACCAAAAGCTGTTGAAACAGATGATTTCACCAAACCCCTGAGCTTACATAATTGTCAGTCCTGTCCAGGATGGGGATCAGGGCTGAAATCTGAGTATCACTGAGAGCTGATCTGCCCATAAATGTAACTACACCTGGCTCTCAACTCTCGCAATGCCACAGCCCCAAGTGGGTTCAAGGCCTTCTTGGACTATCTGCTGGTGTCTGCAGAGGCCATTCCATTCTGTTTGGCTAATGACTATTTAGTGCAAATTCCTGTCCTGCCTTCCCTGATTTTAAGTTTCTTGACCACTCCTTATAGTGGGCAACTCCTAGAAATCACTTTTTTTCCAGTAGAAGACCCATCTCCAATCCCCATCAACTCTTGGATTCTTGTGAACAAAGTCTTCTTATTATAATCTGGTGGTGGTCTGAGAAGGGGGAGGTCTCAGCGAGAAAGTGGGGATTAAATACTATCTGACAGAAATCTCATTGAAACAGGAATCGCATATACATGAACCATCTAGCTCCTCTCAGAATGGCAAAGATGATTCTAAGCAGAATACCTGTTTTTCTCTATGAATGCATTTGTTTCTTTAATGGTCTCAGATTTTCTGATATTTCCCTTAAAATTTAAGTAACCACAGAGCTAGAGAGAGGTTGGTGATTGGAGTCATACTAATCTCAGCTTCAGATTGCTCAGAAAATCCTCAATTACATTTCTAGCAACTTTCTCTGTACCTTTATTAATAAAAATGTGTTATACTTAATATCCAAAAACTAATCTTAAGTGATGGCTTAGGGGAAAAGACTAATAAAGGTTAACTTGTTATAATAGACTTATTTTTGGGGGATTTTATTCATCTATTTTTGAGAGAGACTGTGTGCATGCACTCGCAAGTGGGACGGGAGGTTGAAGGGGTGAGGGAAAGGGACAAGCAGACTCCATGCCGAGGGCAGAGCCCATTAGGGCTCTCCTGACCCTGAAGTCATGACCTGAGCCGAAATCAAGAGTTGGACACTTTAACTGACTGAGCCACCCAGGCACCCCTATAATAGACTTATTTTTAAAATGTATTTGTTATTATGAGAACCACTGAACTATAACTTTACAGTTCATTTTATGAAATTATATTAAAATATTTTCTCATGCTATTAAACTATACCTAACTATTAAAATAATATAGATGCAAAAAGTACAAAAGTTTGTCATAGAATAGCAGCTAACAGATTAAGTGTAAGTCAGAGGGGCCTATTTTGCCTATTACTGAGTATTTTTAAAAGATATTTTTATTCTGATCAAGCCATTTGGATTCAAATGACTGCATCAACTCCTGGGTATTAACCCCAAAGATACAAATGTAGGGATCTGAAGGGGTACATGCTCCCCGATGTTTATAACAGCAGTGTCCACAATAGCCAAACTGTGGAAAGAGCCAAGACGTCCATCGACAGATGAAAGGATAAAGAAGATGTGGGATATATATATACAATGGAATATTATGCAGCCATCAAAAGGAATGAGATCTTGCCGTTTGCAACGATGTGGATGGAACTGGAGGGTGTTATGCTGAGTGAAATAAGTCAATCAGAGAAAGACATGTATCATATGACCTCACTGATATGAGGAATTCTTAATCTCAGGAAACAAACTGAGGGTTTCTGGAGTGGTGGGGAATGGGAGGGATGGGGTGGCTGGGTGATAGACATTGGGGAGGGTATGTGCTATGGTGAGTGCTGTGAATTGTGTAAGACTGTTGAATCACAGATCTGTACCTCTGAAACAAATAATACATTACATGTTAAAAAAAAAAAAAAGAAGAAGATAGCAGGAGGGGAAGAATGAAGGGGGGGAATCAGGGGGAGACGAACCATGAGAGACTATGGACTCTGAAAAACAAACTGAGAGTTCTAGAGGGGAGGGGGGTGGGGGGATGGGTTAGCCTGGTGATGGGTATTAAAGAGGGCACGTTCTGCATGGAGCACTGGGTGTTATACGCAAACAATGAATCATGGAACACTACATCAAAAACTAATGATGTAATGTATAGTGATTAACATAACATAATAAAAAAACAAAACAAAAAAAAAACCAAATGACTGCATCAAGATCACTCTGTGACAAAGTAGCTGTACCAACATGGCCACATAAGCATACTCTGCTGAATTCAGGATAAATAAACTATAAATTTAGACTTTAGTGGTGAGCCCCCCCATCAACTTTCTCTCCCATGTATGCTGTGTTGTCTTCTCTAGCTTTGATGCATGCCTTGGTGTTTGGAAACGTGACAGCGATCATACAGAGGATGTATTCCAGATGGTCCCTCTATCACACTAGAACTAAGGATCTAAAGGACTTCATACGGGTCCATCACCTGCCCCAGCAGCTCAAGCAGAGGATGCTCGAGTATTTCCAAACAACCTGGTCAGTCAACAATGGAATAGATTCAAATGAGGTAATGTTCATTTCTCATGTTGACGTTTTCAGGCAGAAAGCACATATTCTTAGGAAAAGCAAGGTGCTCTAATGCAGGTCTCAGAAGCGAAGTACACACCCACCAACTTCTTTATCTCTATTTTTTAATCCCTCATGAAATTCGGTCCATCTTCTTTCATCTGCTTTAGCTTATGTTTTCATGATGCCATTTGGATGGACCAATGTTTTACGTTAGTTTGCTACTTTGATCGATTGGGTGGACTAACTTTCATTCTCATTGACCCTCTTTAGAGGAACCAATCAATTCTTGGGACCATTGAATTGTGTAATGTTGGATTATTAGATTAACCAAGTTAATGTGTGCCTTTAAAACGAACAAAGTAAGAAAGCAAACATCTTCTGGCACATGTGTTATCTGTAGACTTCCAGGAATACCCCAGACCACTACTGTAAGAAAAGTATCCTTATAAATAAACCAACCGTGCTACAACCCCCCAATCACACTGTAATCCACACTTCTAAGTGACTATTTGGTTTCTCCTCTCTTGACATGATCATGATGCCAGAGGAAACATCAGGGGGTCCAAATTCCATATCTTCGGTCCTGAGTGAGAGTCTTTATGAGAAGCAAGTCACAAGAAGCCATATGTTTTCATTCTAGAGTCTTTTATTAATTTATCCTATTTCTCCAGACTTATTATCAGCTGATTTTTCAGTAGTCACTGAAAAATCGCCCCAGGGTTGTATAGACATGTATGTCCTCTTCTGTATTCTGGTTGGTCAAACAGTGGGAAGAACACCCCTCTTCTCTTGCAGAGTAAATCAATCAGACCAGACTTACCCCAGCTTGATTTCTTCTTTCATCTTGACAGCTTTTGAAAGACTTTCCAGACGAGCTGCGTTCTGACATCACTATGCACTTGAACAAGGAAATCTTGCAGTTGTCCCTCTTTGAGTGTGCCAGCCGGGGCTGCCTCAGGTCTCTGTCTCTGCACATCAAAACCTCTTTCTGTGCTCCGGGGGAGTATCTGCTGCGTCAAGGAGATGCTTTGCAGGCCATCTACTTTGTATGCTCAGGCTCCATGGAAGTTCTTAAAGACAGCATGGTGCTGGCTATTCTTGGTAGGTCTGAGTTGAAAAGCTTCATGCAATTTTACCCTAGAGCATAAGTTAAGAAGAGAAAATGGGGGGAAAATACTGCCATTGCGAGTAAGAAAATTCTGGATGAATATGTGGAATCAGGATTATTCTTTAAGTGGATTTAATTTGCCAACTGTTTTTTATTAATTGTTATTCCACATAGGGAGTTTACACTGTGCTGAGTGTTACATCCAACATATCATCTCATTCTTGTTAAAAATCCAGCAGTATGAATCTTAACCCCATTTTACAAATGAATAAATAGTATCTTAGTTAACTTAATTTGTCCCAAATAACATGATAAGTAAACAAACAGTTCTTTCTGATTCCTAAAGCCAAATTATTAGTCGTGATGCCTGGTACCTTTTGGTGAAATAGCTGGTCAATTTTAAGAGGGCATTTCCGTATTTTTGTGGAGAACAAATTCAGAGAAGAATATGAAAATTATTTCATCTGGGCTAGAAATAGTGCAAAAATGATTATGCATTGAGAATAAGCTCTCACTGCAGTCGCTAATCCCATATTATCAAGGTGGCCATAGCTTTTTTTTTTTTTTTTACTTCCTCAAAGAAATTCCACAGGATGGTTTGTGAAGATTTTGTACCACAAAGTTGACTCCCATCTATTAAGACATAATTGGTTTTCACTGAAATATAAGGTCAGCTGACAGAAATGAGATGTAGAGTTAATGTAGAAAAATTCCTACTCACATTTTTATGTGTACTTCTTTTAAAATCACTATCTCTTGTTTGTTTGCTTATTCAACTAATACTTATTGAAGGCCTAAGAATGTGTCAAGTTGTGGCCTAAACAATAAATACATTTTGAAAACCAATGTAGTACATCAATGTTTAGGATTTGTGTTAATAAAAAGGGGCAAGTTTTTTTTATTTTTTATTTTTTTTAAAGACTTTATTCATTTGAGAGAGAGAGACAGAGAGCGCACAAGCAGGGGGAGAGGCACAGGGAGAGAGAAAAGCAGGCTCCCCTGCTGAGCTGGGAGCCCGACATGGGGCTCAATCCCAAGACCTGGAGATCATGACCTGAGCCGAAGGCAGATGCTTAACCATCTGAGCCACCCAGGCACCCCAGGGCTAATTTATTTTTAATATTATTTAAGAACTAAGATTTATAAACAACTTAACCATTTCTAAAATATTTTTTTTACATATGGGGTCTTATTTAAGCCTTCCTAACACAAAGAGACAGATGGGAGTGGTATTTCCTCTGTTTCTCCAAAGTCAAAGCTAACCTAGGTCTTTGGACTACGCCAATGCTCTTTCCACCTCTAAGTGGTGCCCATGATTCTGTATCTATATAATCATCGTAAGCCTGCTGTCACTGATTTTAGTTCATAAGCTTCAAGGCAGGTGATACTTTGGGAAAAGGGAAGAGAACTAAAATTTATTGAATCCCTAATATGAACCAGGTGTTTTACGTCCATTATCCAATTTAAATCCTACTACCCTGTGAGGTTGGTGTGATGATCCCTGATTAAAGGTGAAGAGGTGGAGGCTAGTGAGTAGTGAAATACCTGTCGGCTTCTCATTGCTTCGTATTCACTCAGTTTGCCACTTACCGGGGGGGGGGGGGTAGGGCTTGTCTTTTATTTTTATTTATTTATTTTTAAAGATTTTATTCATTTATTTGAGAGAGAAGGAGAGCACAAGCAGGGGCAGAGGGAGAGGGAGAAGCAGGCTCCTGGCTGAGCAGGGAGCCTGATGGGGGGCTCGATCCCAGAACCCCGGGATCATGATGAGAGCTGAAGGCAGACACTTAACCAACTGAGCCACCCAGGCGCCCTGGGCTGTCTTGTAAAGCTTTGGCTCATTTCTTGACTCACCCTCTTATGTTTTTTCTCCTTGACAGAAAGATTGGATGGGGAGGTGGGGGGTGAGGGGATAGGGCAATTGGGTGATGGGCACCTGATGGAATGAGCACTGGGTGTTATACGCAACTGATGAATCACTAAATTCTACCCCTGAAACTAATAATACACTATGTGTTAACTAAATTGAATCTAAATAATTCTTTTTTTTAAAAAAAAAGGTACAGAATAGCAACAGACAGAGTTTATTTTCATTATCAGTGTCAGAGTGAGGCTCTTTATGTGTGTTTTTAAAAGGAGAGTTTAACATTCCTGCTCACTTATCAACTTTGCAAAGTTAACGGCCATTCTATTATTTTGCATTCTAAATTAAAATTGACAATTATTTCTAAATTTGCTTCAGAAACTTATCTTTAATCATGAAATACTTTTCCTTGGGTTTCCTTAGGACCACGTAAGTTTTATAGCCTGCCTATTGACATAGTCTGCTTTTAAGAGGGCATATAATTATTTTTCCAAAGCTATATGGTTTCATATGCTTGTAAGCAAAAATAATGTAGTATGTTTAAATATATATAATCTGTCTTTTTCCATAGCTTGGTGTATTTTTACAATAGCAGCAATTCTAGGAATGGAATATGAAGGTATCGTCTATAACATTAGAACATAATAGGTACAAATTCAATGGCTTCTAGGTATTTAACATTGTGTGTAATACATAATTCAACTGGATCTTTTATTTAAAAAAATTCTACTCACAGCTGAAAGACTTAATCCATTGTCTTTTGCTCTTGGCCCCAATTTCCTCCATAAATTATGATTTTCATGGTTAACATTTTCACATCTTCATTTCTACTGTGTCGAGCATCAAAAGTGATCTAAATGCAAATTGCCACATGGCCATTCTAAATACTCGTATGCGGTATTGGGACTAAACCCAAACAAGGATAAATTATTAATATTTCATCTCTAATTAACATTATTTCAATGGAGATTGGGTATTTTACTTTCCCTATGGTAATATTGTCTTATAGGGCCAATTAAAATCAATACTGACTTTGATAAACTTAAGCACATGGCTTCACATTTGCAGATATTTAATACATGTTCACTCTGCCAACAAAATGAATTAATATATAATGTTGTAGGGAAGACGTATCACCAAACAACTGTCAAGCCATAACTTATTCAAGCAACTCAGTTGTCCAATCAATACACGAATGCATTTCTTAATCTGATGCCTGGGGAAGCAGTTGACACAGAGTCAAGGATTTGTTATGGGGATAGAATTTGTTTGCCTTGTACGCTTTCATTTCAGGTCCTGATAATTGTGTTTTTCTACCAATTTCTTCATTGTTGTTTAAAAGAAAATGACAAATCACTGATAAATGTGCTCTTCACAGATGGTATTAGTCTGCCTAGTTATAATTAAACATGTTATTGCTCTAACCCGGATGGTTTGCAGACGCATCCCATCAGCTTCCCCCTCCCCACCCCCCACCCCCCATGGAAGAGTAACTGGTTAGCAAATATAAGTAATAGAATTCTGAAAAATGGAGATAGTAAGAGACCACAGAAATCTCTCTCTTCTTTTAGAAATAAGGATACTGAGACCTGGAATAAATAAGAAACTTAGATCAAAGTCCTAAATATAGATAGTGAGAAATCCGCCAAGACCATAAAATCATTGAGGGTAGGGACCATGTTATTATTTACCAGTGCACACGTGCCGGGGCTCAACATGAGGTCCGGCTCGCATGTCAGTTGCTTCATAAATACTCCTTAAATGAATAAATAAACTGGAATTCTTTCTAGAGTGCCAAAGTTGGCAAGATGTTGGTGTTGTTTTTATAGCTGGGGTCACTGTGGCTTAAATAACCATGCTGTGGTCACCCAAGGTATGGAAGTATGATGACCCTAAAGTCATTCCGAACACCAGTTGCTTAACAGAAAGTATACATGCTCTTTGTAGCAAGACACTGCATCATGATAAACTCTTCTGAGATATACAAATTTCAAAATTTCTTATATTCAAAGCATCCTGGCTATATTTACGTCTTGCATCGGTACCCAACTTTGAGTTTTTGAGCACCAATTTAGATTTCTAACAAAATATGTAAGAAACCAAATTGCCAAATTTAGCTGTATGGGTGACAACAATAAATCCAACTTGAATTCTCTAGCACCATGTGGTTGTATATTCCCTTAGCATCTAGAAGTGCAGATTTCAGTCCTTTTTTTCTTTGAACAAATAGGCTCAACTTCAAGGTTTGAATCTAATGTTATTTCAGAGATAATACTCACATGTAATTCAATAATTTTAAAATGATCCGTTTTATGTTATATATTTATGAACATTTCAAGTATTTTATTTGACATGTTTCCTTTTCCTATGGAACTCAATAAAACAGACTTTTATCGAAACCTGTTACAAGTCTGAGACTTTCCTTCCAGAAGTGCTGGGCACCATAAAAAATAAAAATTTAGAAGTTTAAAAATTAACTGAATGGGGGACAAGGCAATTTGTTCTATACCATTCCGAAGATATTCTTTGCTTGGTGGTTTCTCTGTGGATCAACGGTTGGTTGTTGATTCCCGGTGAGACAAAGTGGCCATTAAAAAAAATAATAAAATTTCAAGCCCAGACAGGAGGACAAAGCAAAGAAACTCCTAAGTTGTAGCCATGAATCTAATGCCAGTGTCCTCTGTGAACGTAGATCATATTACTTCAGCGTTGATCCTAAGTTTTTCTGAGGATGGAATGGATTTTCTTTCATGGTTCTCACACGGATGCCGAGTGAATTAACAGCTGTGTCTAAAATAAATCTGAAGCTGCAATCAGCTCTTTGTTAGCACTTACATTTATGCTCACTTTCCTGCTAGGCTAAACTGATTCAAATCAACTGAAAGATTTTAAAGAATCAAATACATTGTCCAATATGATCTAATCAGCAAACTCAAGGAAGCAAGCTAGTTCCCAGGCAGGGGAATCCAGCCTAGGACTGGTAGGCAGCGGCATTGCAGGCAAAATAGCAGGGGTGCTGGGTGTGGCGCGGGTGCAGATGACAAAGTGGTGGTGGGTCTCTCTCCCTGCAGTGGCGCAAGCCGAGAACTCAGAGTTTTTATTTATTCGCTTTCTTTTTTGATGGGAAAATTGGCCTTTTACACTGTCACAGAGTATTAGAAGTATGGCTTGTGTTTTACATTTTCATTTGGTAGATTTCACCATCCATGATGTCCAAGACCTCTCTCTGCCCCGCCCCGTTCTTTTTTTTTTTTAAGATTTTATTTGTTCATTTTGACAGAGAGACAGAGAGACAGTGAGAGAGGGAACACAAGCAGGGGGAGTGGGAGAGGGAGAAGCAGGCTTCCCACTGACCAGGGAGCCCGATGCGGGGCTTGATTCCAGGACCCTGGGATCATGCATGACCTGAGCCGAAGGCAGACACTTAACGACTGAGCCACCCATGAGCCCCAGCCCCATCCTATTCTGAGGAGGGGGGGAGAGCACCTACACCCCTCCTCGCCCTCCTGTCTTGTAGACATGTTCAGAGGTAAATAAAACAACCCAAGTACGTTAGCAAACTGACGATGAAGCCAATTATTGTGTTAGAATCAAAATTATTAATACACATTTTAATGGTTTTCTACAGAGACTTTTTGTACTCAAAAAAAAAAAAATTGGAGCCATTATTATTTCTCCTGAACAGTTGAGGCAACTGTGACAAAAATGTCAACTGCTTTGTCTAAAGTCATTTATTGAATGCCATGAGGAACTTTCTGGAGCCCGTCTATGACCAACAATTCCTAACTCTGGCTCTGTTAGTCCTTATCCCCCAGACCACCGTTCTCAACCAGGAACAGTTGTGCCCACCACGGGACATTTGACAATGTCAGAAGATATTTTCGGTTGTCACTACTGGGGGTCAGGAATATGAGATGGCGCTAAACATTCTACTGTGTACAGAAAGCCCCCCCCAACAAAGAAATACCAGGCCCCAAATCTCAACACTGCCAAGATGAAGGTGTCTTTTTCTTTTGCAGTGTCATCTCAGAGAAGGGAAGCCTGTAAGTCAAATGAAGTTTCTAGTCCCAGCTTACCTTTCTTTAAAAGTGACATGTCTCTTTTTTTCACTGTCTCAAGGGAAAGGGGACTTAATTGGAGCAAACCTATCAATTAAGGACCAAGTGATCAAGACCAATGCAGATGTGAAGGCTTTAACCTACTGTGATCTTCAGTGCATCATCCTCAAAGGACTCTTTGAAGTGCTAGACCTTTACCCAGAATATGCTCACAAATTCATGGAAGACATTCAGCATGACCTCACATACAACCTTCGAGAAGGTCATGAGAGTGATGTAAGTCTCACTTCTAATTAGTGCTGAGACCTAAAACATGGGACCTGGAGACCATTTATAACAATAAAAGCACATGTCATGACTTCACTTGTAAAGATCTCTGAATGAATAACGTATGATTATTCAACCACTAGTTGAACAATTAAATAATTAGCTAGAAGTCAAGCCTGGAGTTTATCAACATTCTAGGAAAGTATTGTTTATAGATGACCTCCCTTAATTCAGTTTCTTTCTTGTTTATTTTCATGTGCTTATAACTAGAATCAGTTTCAGTGACATAGAATATTTAGCTACAGTTATGTGATTTCTCCACAGTTTAAAGATTTCCAGATAGAATATATGGCTCAGAGTTTGCTGTGTTTCTAACTGTTTACTATTCTGCTTGCCTGTTAGGAAGTTTGCTTAAGAATAATCTTTTTTTTAACCAGTACCCAAAACAGTCTATCTTAAAATAACTAAATATGCATAAAAGGATTCAGAGCCAAAGATTGTCACGCTGAAAGCATAATGAGCATTTTATGAAAATATATATTTGCTGCATGTTTCAGTTTATACAAACAGCTTTACTAACAAAATAGGTACTACACTGCATCCTGGGGTTAAGCTGATCGCGAACATGACTTCATTAGATGTGTCAGAGACACAAATGATTTAATAGGAATGATTGTTGAAAGGCAAGCCAGAGCATGAACAGCATTCTGTAACAACAAAAGCCTTGCTCGCTACCTTGAGTTTTGTTTAAGATATTTGCAATACTCGATTTTTTTCCCCGAGACTTTAAGGAATTTATTGTTTTGACTAACCCATATTGTGCAGGCATTTTGTGAGTCATTAATATTCCTCACTTTGAAAGGTAGAGAAAGAATACAAATTGTGTTTTTATTACTTCATCTTGGTTGAGGATATCAAACGACAGTCAATACATAAATGACAGTCGATATGTAGATGGTATCCCATTCCGAAGTTCAAGATTAACCAGTTTTGAGTGTGTGTTTCTCTCTATTAACGATAGCAAACAGCAAAAGAGGTATCAATATTTATTGGGAATCTATTTGTGCTAAGCACTCTGCCTAGATAAACATCTCATTTAGTGCTTAAAATGACTTTGTCAGGTAAGTATCAATTTGTATGGAACAGAAAACAGATTCAGAATGGCTAAGTAACTTGAATGTAGTCACATTGTATACACTATTAGTTATGTTGTCCCTGTTGAAGACACTTTTCATATCTTGTGATTCAACAGATGGACTTATTTTTTTAAGATTTATTTATTTATTTTAGACAGAGCATGGGAGGTGGGGGGGTACAGGGAGAGGGATTGAGAGCATCTCAAGCAGACTGCTCGCTGAGCACAGAGTGGGGCTCAATCCCACCACCCTGAGATCATGACTTGAGCTGAAATCAAGAGTCGGACATTTAAGCGACTGAGCCACCCAGGTGCCCCTCAACAGATGGACTTTTAAAACTACAGTTGTCTTTTGTACTCTTTAAGACAATCTATTTTTGAAGTGTGGAAGTGTGCTAGAGGGTGGAAGCAACTGGAAAAGAGAGAAGAAATGCAGGAAGAGAGAAAGAGCCAAACATGCCTCAGCCTAGTGAAGTGGAAAATATTGGATCTCAACCCCCAGCTTCTTTTTATTTGATTCCTTTTTAAGGATCCCTATCCCTGATCAAATTTTTTATCCCTTTTTTTCTATTTGCTGGAACATAAATCAGAGTGGTTTTTTAGACTCCAATACCTGAATTGCCTGTAGGATTACTTTCATTATCTGTTCTTTCTCTTGCATTGTTTTGTTTTGTTGTGGTCATTTGGTTCCTTCTTTTTAGCAGATGTTATACTTTTGTTTAAATGTAGATGTTGTTTATGAAAATTATTCTATTATTTTCCTCCATGCAGGTAAGGTTTTCTCTTGGCAAGCAGATCAAGTCCCAACCAACCAATTTCATCCTGCCCAGAGTTCCTCTTAGGTTTTGTTCAGCTGCTCTGTTTCAGCTTTGCCCATCCTCTGAGGCTATAGCCTTCACCCTTAAGACGTGTTTTTTCTGGGATCTCCAGCTGAAAGCCTGAGATGTTTACCAAGGCCTCTCCTATTTGGTGGGGCTTAAACTCCACCCTCCATCTCCTCAGCACTGCATGGTGGCTGAAATCTCTGCTCGTCCCAGGTGCTGTTTACTTCCGAGTCTCTCGGAGCACTGCCCTGTGCATGCTCACATGAGCAGCTGACTCATGCATCTAGGGCCACACTGACACAGTTGACAGCTCTCGGGGCTTTTACTCCTCAAATCCCAGGTGCTTTAGTATCACCTGAACTTCATCCCTAGCCTCCTTAGCCAGGAAGATGACTCCTTTCTGTCCTACGCTATTCTACCTCACAGGGAAACAGAAAATTCTCCCCGGGCGCCTGGGTGGCTCAGATAGTTAAGCGTCTGCCTTCGGCTCAGGTCATGGTCCCAGGGTCCTGGGATCGAGTCCCGCACTGGGCTCCCTGCTCCTTGGGAGCCTGCTTCTCCCTCTGCTTCTCTCCCTCTCTCTCTCCCTCTGTCTCTCATGAATAAATAAATAAAACATTAAAAAAAAAAAGAAAGAAAGAAAATTCCCCCCGGAAGATGCTTGGGTAAATGCAGAGCACATGTTGGTGTGCCCCTTTTCTCAGAGACCACGACCCTTCAAGTCTTTCCTGAGCTGATTGTGCTCTGGTGCTTTCAAACAGTTATTTTATCTGTTTTGTCCAGCTTTATTTTTTACTTGAGAGTTAGTTCAATATAAGCTATTTCATTACAGCTGGAACCGTAAGTATCGCTTCTTTTCAGAAGGCTTATCAGCTACATTTTTAAGGGCAAATGGGAACTGGAACTTACCCCTGAAACCGTTATTGTTTTGTTTTTCCTGATCATTTATCACTCAAAACTCAAAACACTCTCTCTCTTAATCTCTCTCTGTGTGTATATACATATATATACACACACATATATCTCCAAGATCTTGGGATGCTATGCCTTCTAAAGGCTTGATAAATTTGGACCACCCTTCCCCATAATTCCATGCCCTGGGGAGAAAGTCTTCTGCTCTTTCCTAGCATACTCCAACTTCTTGGCTCATTTGTATTCTGATGGTAACCTATGGTTATGAATTCTTGCTTTGCTTTGCAACTCTGGTCTGCTGTCAGACCAATAGGAAACCCAACCTCTTTCCTTAATTTCTGTGAACACACAAACAAAATATCTAATCACACAGGATGTTTAGTGGGTTGAAGCCTTTGGTGATCAATGGGTTTAGAAGAAGAACATTTGCATAATGGAAATGCAAACGATATAAATGTACAGTATCTATATATCCTTATTCTTAAAAATCATGTGGCCCCTGGGCCATGTTGTTCAGCTCTTTCTTATTGCTCTCAACACTCTCCTCTTCTTGCTTTCCCTTCATCTCCAAATTCCCCATTATTTCTGATACATATTAGTTTAACTCCCACTCTTTGGCTGCCTTTCGTCTTTCCTATTCTGCCTTCTGGATTCACCTTGTACTGTTAGGTGACACAGAACATCTGGGTAAAGTGAAGACTGATGGTCAATCCTTTTTGAAATAAAGATCATAAAAGCATTTCAAGAAATAGTCAAAATTTGGAAGGGAAATGCATGTAGCTTTAGTAACATATAACTCCTAGAGCTATGATAAATTATGTAACTTGAGAATGACAGCTCATCCAATTCTCATAGGAAAATTAACTAAAATATATAATATTCTAAGTCTATGGAGAGGTTAGCTAGCATGGTTTGGACCTCATGCTAATTATGCATCTTATGCACCCCGTGTTTTCTATATTTGTCTTATTTATTTATATCTCCTGGATGGCTCCAATAATGACATGGATTAATTTAGCTATTTCTGTCCATGCAGATTATAAGAAATTTGCTTCACTGCTTCTCATGGTAGACTCCATAAAATTGGCTTTCGCACAATCTCATGTGTTGTTGGTTGTGAAATTTAGTGCCTTAATATAAGAATTTTGAATTTGTGATAAAACAAATAAAATGATTGAAGAGTATCTAAAATATCTGTTTTCAAAAATTAATAATGCTAATATACTGAAAATTGAATATTGATATGGCTACATATAAATACCTATGTGCTTCTCACGTGGTAGACACTGACTGAGTGGTGGTATCGTGGTTATAGAGCAACAAACAGCAATGGTTGTTGAAAAAGGAAAATAAATTCTTACTGAGGGGTTTATCAGTGATGAAACCTATTAAATTTTAAGTGTCTTATCTCATTTTTCCTCAATTTCTCATTGTCATATAATCCAATCAGCTTAAAAAAATAAAGTCTCCTCCTTCAGTCTTCCCACCTCTTTAGTAAAGGAAGGGGTGTTTCCCCAGTTTCTTGAGGGTCAGTGACCTCTAGGTAAAGGACTCTGAATGCCCATCTCCAACATGGCACAAGAGGCTACAGCAAAGTTGAGAGAAGGCTCCTGAGGCAGAGACAAGAGAGCCCTCTAGGATGTGCAGGGTCAGCTGCTTCTTCCCACTTGGATGCATTTGATCATACTTGGGTGGTTTAAGGGGCTGACCTATCATAGCTGCTTAAAACCTCCACATTATCTTAACATCCTAGTTCCCCACAACCTACATCTACTCTCTATATAGACCCAGCACCATGCTTAAACAGTATAGTTATAAAATTGAATACATCCAAGTCTCAAATGACCCTCATATGAAACAAATGCATATATAATCATAATTTATTGCAAAAGTTCCAGAGTGGTCATATGCAATAGTTAAAACATATATAAATAAACATAGTGGAATGCAAAAGTTTCATAGTAATGGAAAAGTCAACTTGCCATCACCAGCCTGTGGGGGGTTGTGTGCATGCGTGTGTGTGTGTGTGTGTGTGTGTGTGCGTGCACGCACACACGCATCTGTACGTGTGGAAGGTGCTGAAAGAATCTGACCATGACACATGAGAAGGGGTATCCTAAGTGGTCCTCCTGCCTCTA